ACAATTGACTTTAACTGCTTTTACTTAAATTAAAAAATTGTTTCCTGTCTGACTTAAATTGACTTCTATCACTTGGATTTTAATTAGAAGAAATCATTGCCTTTTTGTCTGACTAAAAAAACTATTTTACTCCTATTAGTGATGTAAACAAATTTCAATCATACAAAATGTATTATATTCAATAAGTACTAAATGAATATTTGAGAAATGAAACAAATTTTACGTAATTAAATAAATTATACTTGAATTTACAGGGAAAATTCACAAAAATGTAATTTACAAATTAGGGTAAATATGTCTGACTAAAAATTTTCATTACCACTTATGAACCAATAATTAAATTAAATTTACGTTTTTTTAACCTCCTTTTAGGAAAAAATTATTTTTTCTTCTACAAGTAAAATAACATTATTCTAGTCAGACAATTTGTGTTAAATACGAAATTTCCTTCAATTTGCTCCGCCCGACTTAATATTGATTTTACTACTAAAAATTAAATTGTGCAAATTTCGTACCTAAGTTTCTTTTGGAAAATTACATTTTTTCTACAAATATTGTATTTTCTACAAGTATTGAAGTCAGCCAATTTATATTAAAAACATACATTCTTTTCGATTTTTTCAGTCCGACTTAATATTGATTTTACTACTAAAAATTAAACATGCATACATTTATTATGGAAAAAAATTAATTTTATTTCTATGCAAATATTAATATAAATTTTTAGTCAGACTATTTTTAAATGAAAAATTATTCGAATCCGTTCAGCCTGACATAATATTATTACTTCACTACTAAAAATTAAACTTGTATGTTAATTTCATACATATTTTGTTTGTAAAAAAACTATTCAAAAATAGAAAAATATAAACAATAAAATATAAACAAAAAAAATATAAACAAAACTAAAACAAATATTTGTTTTCTTTTGTAAGTATACTTACAAAATAAGAGTAGGAATAATTTGTGTTAAATTCGAAAATTATTCCAACTTGTTCCGTCTGATTTAATATTGATTTCACTACTAAAAATTAAACGTGTGTGAATTTCATAGATTTTGTTTGAAAAGAATTATTCTTTTTTCTTTAAATACACTCGATTCTTGTTATAACGAATCTCGTTACAACGTTCTCTCGTTATAACGAACATTAAAACTCTCGATACAACGACAAAAAAAACACGAACGAATTTAAGAATTTAATTTAACCAAAATTTTGGTTAACTCAAAAAAAACGACAAATTTAATCGACTCTTAAATTTATTTAACCTAAAGAATCTAGTGATCCGATTATTATTAAAAATACTTACTTTTTCTTTAAACTGATTTCATAATTCAAAAACTTTTAATATAAATAAACATACTTTACGAAAAATTTAGCACGTATTTGACGTTTGAATAGAACGTGAAGTAGGATCCTCTCCTTTCGTCGTAATATCGAGATTTTGAAGTCCCGAGATCGTCGTTATAACGAGAATCGAGTGTAGTATAACAATATTTCAGTCAGACAATTTGTGCGAATTTCATACATTTTTTTGGAAAAAAATATTTTTTCTTCTGCAAGTAGTATAACATTATTATTGTCAGACAATTTGTATTAAACACAAAAATTGTTCCCTTCGATTCAATATTTATTTTGCTACTAAAAATTAAACTTTTGTAAATTTCATACATTTTGCTTGAAAAGAATGATTTTTTTCTTTAAGTAGTATAACATTATTGAAGTCAGACAGTGTTTTTATTAAATACGAAAATCATTTCGATATGATCCGTCTGACTTATTATTGATTTTACTACTAAAAATTAAATTTTTAAATTTTTATTTTTTAAGCAAAAAAAAAAATTTTTTAACATTTTTGGATTAAAATTATTTTACTTTTTAGAATAAAATAAATTGTTTTTTAAATTATTTCAATTTCGATTACTTGAAAGAAGGTGAAGAAAATTTGAAACTAAAATAAGTAGGTAAATAAAAAAAGAAAATAAAAGAGAAAAAATTTGGTTACAAAATGAAAAAAAATTTAATTGTTAATAAGCAAGAAGTTTTGAATTGTTTATTAATCGTTTTTATGACAAGCTGATGAAGGTGTAATTATAAATGAAATCATAAAAATTGCTAAGTAAATGAAGCTAATTAGTACGGTTGGTAATTACAATCAAAGAAGGAAATGAAAACGCCAGCAAATAATACAAAGTGTCGAGTTTCGTTAATAGTTTAAACTTTAAATAATAGTTTAATTAAAAAATAAAAACATAATAATAATAATAAAATTAATAATTTTAAGAATAATAGTTAAATATATTAATAATAATATAATAATATAATATATAATATAATAATATAATATTTTACTACTAAAAATTTAACTTGCTGAATTTTACACACTTTTTTGTAAAAAAAATATTTTTTCTTTAAGTAGTAAAATAAAGTTGTAGACAGACAATTTTTTTTAAATGAAAAATTGATTTCAATAAGTTTGGTTCTACAATGAGAACAATAAAATGCGTTATGTCTGACTTAATCTTGATTCTGCCACTTATACACTTGAATTATAGAAGTGATTAATGCGTTCATTGATTCTTTGTCTGACTAAAAACTGATTTACCTACTTAAATACTCTTTAGAAGATTTAACCATGTTTAGTCTGACTAAAAACTGATTTTACTACTTATATTTTAATTAAAAGTGGTTAGTGCTCACTGTCTGACTATAAATTGTCTTAACTACTTCAAATATAACTGCAATATGTTACGTCTGCCTAAAATTGATTTATACCACTTATAATTTTATTTTACTTTGGAAATCAATGTGTATTGTCTGAATAAGATTAGTTTAACTACTTACTCTCTAAAATTTAATCAGTTAAATAGTTTGACTAAAAATGACTTTTACAACTACATATATACAACTGAATAAACAAATTATTTTATATTTGACAAAATTCGAATGCCCTACTTACATTTGATTTACCATAAGTTTTGTCAGACAAAAAATTTATTTCACTATACTGATAATTACTGTAATTTTTATTTTACCCTTAATTTCTTGTTTCAAAAAATATTTTAATTTTGAAAAATGTTGTTTTTATAAATAAATAAAAATAATGACATAATTTAAAAATTTTCAAAATAAAAAAATGAAAAGTTTCGTTAAAAAAAATAGATTTTGTAACTTCAACGTTTGAGTAATATAATTCAATGAATAATCAATTTGACATATTTGAATAAAGAAAAAAATTGTTAATAATTTTTTTGGTAAATAAATATTTTCTGATACCTGTTGGGTTTTTTATTTCTATATGATTAATATGCAAAAAAAAAAAATTTCCCTTGAATCTTGATACATGAAGTTAACAAATTAAAGCCATCGCTCATGTGGATTTTAAAATTATTTGACAAGTGTTATTTTTTAACAAAATCGAGTGTGTTGCTATGTTATATGTACCTATACATTTCGCTCTATAAATAAATATAAACCATATATTTAAGTTACAAATTTAGAAGGTTTCATCATGTTTAGTCTGACTTAATCTTGATTCTCCTACTTAAATTTGAATTAGAAGTGGTTAGTGCTTACTGGCTGACTATAAATTGTCTTAACTACTTAATATATAACAGTGTAATATGTTACGTCTCCCTATAATTGACTTATATCACTTATAATTTTATTTGACTTAGAAATCAATGTGTATTGTCTAACTAAGATTGATTTTACTACTTAGTCAGTCTTCAGTTTACCTTAACTACTTATAGTTGAACTAAGACTTCAATACTTTGTGTATGACTGAAAATTGTTTTTACTATTAAATATTTGAGAAGAGCAGGTTTTGTCTGACAAATAATTGATTATGCAACTCATAATTTTTTTTTTTTTAATATATTATTATTATTTATTACTAATTATTATTTTGATTAATATTATATAATAATTATTGTTATATTATTATTATTATTATTATTATTATTATTATTATATTATTATTTTATTATTATATTAATATATTATATTATATTATTATATTATTATATTATTATATTATTATATTGTTATATTATTACATCAATTTATATTCTAGTAGAATTTGAATTTGTAGTATTTAATTTTTTAAATTAGAACACATTGCCAGGAAAAATATTTCTACCGGACAAATAGAAAAACCGGAAAGAGTATATTACTTCCTCATAGAGGAAGGATTGTATTTTTATTAATATTCAAAACGAGAGGTTTTTTCTGAAAAAGAGAAAAAATTTTGTTTTCTAAGAGTATTCGTCTGAATAAAAATAAAAAATATTTGTAACACAGAATATGCAGTGCAAAGTGGTTATATAAAGAAAATGAAAACAATGTGCCGCTGACGATGTCATTGTTGGAAAATTTTAAATGCAAAGAGATAGGGGTATTTTATACCCAAATAATTTTCTCTCTCCCTCTCTCTCTCTACAAAAAAAGACACAAAAAGTTGTTCACGCTACTGAATGCACCTTTGTGAATGATGTAAATTTCATTGTCCTTGGAAACTATTTTTTTTTTTTTGCAATTTTTTTTTCAAGGTTTATGCAAAGACTATCATGATACAAGCTTTTTTTTTTGGTGTGGTGAGGTTTAAGCGCGTATATAAACGTGCGCATATTTTATACTGGAATGACGTGTCTAATAGTCATGAGAACCAAGTATATGTATATATACATAAAAGCTATACTGGACCTGCTAATATATCAGTTATGTTGGATATATGTAGATGTACCAAAACAGAGCGCGGTACTATTCTGACACAGTCATCCATATATACCACATTACATAAGGGTGTTTGGGGGTGCTGTTTCTGGGAATTTCAGTATGCGCGCAACCGTCGCGCCGGTAACATCGCGTCTTTTTGTCACGTTCAAAAAAATAAATAAATAAAATAAAATAGAAAAAAGAAAAATAATTTTCAAAAAATAGTTTTGAAAAAAGAAACCCTTTTATTAATTAATTTATTAATTATTAATTCTTAATTTTTACTGTTAGCAAATTTTTCTACCGTTTGAATTTTGAATTCAAATTTAAAAATCTTATTTCCAAAAATTCAATGATTTCGCAATTATCTAATGACAGAATTTCAATTTAATAATTATATAATTACGTCATAGATAATTACATAAATATCAGTAAAGAATTACATAACTCCAAGTAAATAATTATATAATTACAATTTAATAAGTACAATTAAATTATATTTTTTCTATGTTACATTTCATTACGTACAGAAAAGGAAAATTTGATTAGAACTTTAATTCAATTAATTAAAAATAGAAAAGTATTTAATGCATTTGAATTAAAAAATTAATTTTTGATGAAAAGATATAAATTAAATTGAAAATTTAATTTATTTAATTTATTCAATTTTAAAAATTGAAAATTAAATACAAATTTCGTATAATTTCGTTATTAAGGTGGGGGTTGAGTTATCGTGAGAATTAATGTTTAAACTTGTTAATTACAATTAATGCCATTGATTAGTGTGATTCAAAGTGCCATAGAGAGTTGTTTGCGCGTCGACGATAAACTCGGGGAGAACTGAAAAGTTTTTAGAAAGTTTAGAAAACAACTTTACGTTTTCTGATTGTCAGCGTTAAAAGGAATGTTGCATAAATAATAAGGAGGTAGTGAAGGAATAATTTATTTGAAATGTACGAGAGACAATTTTCAAAGAGGACAAATAAAGTTTTACACAATTTATCCCGGAGTCATCCAATGGAACGTTGAGAGTTAAAGAGTTATTCGACTTTAAATAGAAAAATCCAAAAAAAAAGGTAATTAACCGACAATTAGGCAAATTTAATTTTCTTTTTGTAAACTTTCTTTTGCAGGAATATAATTGTAATTATTCACTTCTTCATGTTTGAAAGTTTTGCTCTTTTAAATTGAAGAATAATAATTTATCTCTTCTAATTATTTACAAATATTGAGATTTTTGTTTATGCTTCAAAGACGTGGAAAATTTTTTTAATACAACTTTTCACCGATTTTTCAACTGATACATAAAAATGTCCCTTTTAAAGAAAGCAATAAATGTAATAATCAATACAAATATTTGTTTTTGAAAAGTATCAATTTTTCTGTAAAAGAAAATTCATTTCTGTTTGATTAAATATTTTTGTAATAAAATAATTTTTGATTTAGTTTTATTCTTAATTAATTAATTTTTTAATTTTTATTTTTTAAGCAAAAAAAAAAAAAAATTTTAACATTTTTGGATTAAAATTATTTTACTTTTTAGAATAAAATAAATTGTTTTTTAAATTATTTAGATTTCGATTACTTGAAAACAGTGAAGAAAATTTTTGGAACTAAAATAAATATGTAAATAAAAAAGAAAATATAAGAGAAAAAATTTGGTTACAAAATGAAAAAAAATTTAATTGTTAATAAGCAAGAAATTTTGAATTGTTTATTAATCGTTTTTATGACAAGCTGATGAAGGTGTAATTATAAATGAAATCATAAAAACTGCTAAGTAAATGAAGCTAATTAGTACGGTTGGTAATTACAATCAAAGAAGGAAATGAAAACGCCAGCAAATAATACAAAGTGTCGAGTTTCGTTAATAGTTTAAACTTTAAATAATAGTTTAATTAAAAAATAAAAACATAATAATAATAAAATTAATAATTTTAAGAATAATAGTTAAATATATTGACAATAATATTATTTAAAATACTAATATTTACAGTAACAATAATAATAATATTAATAATAATAATAATAAAAATAATAAAAATAAAAATAATAATAATAATAATAATAATAATAATAATAATAATATGAAAAAATCTGATTACAAGTTTCTTTAATGTTAAAAGCAGATAGAGTAAATAAAGTGAAAAACAATAAAAATTGATGATAAAAAATAAAAAAAAATAATGCTATGATTAAGAAAATGATAAATAAAAAATAATAAAAGTGGATGATAAAAAAATAATAAAACAATAATAGAATAATTTTAATAAAAGCAGGAAATAAAAAAATTGATAACAACAATAATAATAAAAATAGTAATTAAGTTAGTAATTAAAAACGCATATTTAAATATTACTAATTTATTAGACATTTTTCCAAATTATTTATATAGTAAAACAATAATAAAACAATAATAGAATAATAATAAAATAACGACAATAAAATAAGGAAATAAAAAAATAAAAAACTCTACAAAAAAATTGATAATAATTCTAAAACTAAAAATGAAAATGAAAATTAATAATTTATTAATTTATTTGCAATTTGTACAAATGAGTAATATTTAATAATAATAATTATAATTATAATAAAAGTAATAATAAAAAATAATAATTAAAATTTTTTTATACTATAAACAAAAAAAAATAATATGCATTTCATTGAGAGAGATATTTTTTGTTTTTAATTAAATACGGAGGGAATTTGAGGTAAAAGTGAGGAAATCGAAGATAAAGTTTGCAGTTGATGGATTACATGAACTAATTTCCGGCAAAATTGTATTAAAGGAGGAAAAAAAAATTCTTCATTCCTTTTTTTTATACTCTCGGTTTATAGTCATTATGAGTTTAAAGGCTTGTTTCACCACCATCACTGAAACTTTGCTGTCGATTAAACCTTCATTCATACTCTTTATGTCTCACCTTCGTTCGCTTCGATCGCCCAATTAGGTGTTGCAGTTTCTTTTTATTTTTATTATTTTTTGCAACATTAAAAAGATCACTGAAAACTTATCGCACATTAAGCCTTTTTTATTTTATTGACTGTCTAAAATTCTCCCTTGACTTTAAACCTACTTTTTTTTTTTTTTGCTTTTCATATGAAAAATTTTCCTATTTATTGGAAAATTTTTATACTTTTAATATACTACAAAAATTATTTAGCAACAAATTAATGTAAATTATTATTCATTATTGATAATTTTACTTAATTGCCTGATTGGTTTCTATTTTCGATTAAAAGTACAAAAAGAAGAGAAATTTCAATCAGAACTAAGTAAAAAGTGTAAATAATATTAAGAATAATAATTATTTATTTTATTGCAAATTAATTTAAAATATTTAATCGTAATTAATAGAAAGAATTGATTTGTCAAAAGAATAAGTTTTAATTATTTTACTAAAAGATCAATAATAATAAAAATAGTAAGAATAAAACTAATGAAAACAGTAAAAATAAAAAATATAAAACAGAAAATGATAATATAAAAATAATAATAAAAATTATAATTGAATGCCTAAAAAAAGTTTTTTAACATTTAAATTTATGAAAATGACCTGAGAGTTGACTTTAAAAACAAAAAAAAAAAAGACTTCTGCTCTTGAATCGATGATGAACGGTTTATCGCTAGAGAAAAACGATATTTTTTCTCTCTAAGAAAAGTCCCGCGAGATGAGTCAGCATTTTTTCTTTCTTTTTTTTTTAATATACATATATATATATAGTCGGGGAAAAATTTCCACTTGGAGTACTCATTCATAATGGTCCACGACAGAATGTGCCAATTTCCGGTCTTTCAGTAAAGAGCGATTAGAAATCAGCGCTAAATGGTGTGCAGTCCAGTTTTCATCGGTGTAAAAATATTGAACAGAAATGCCAAACTTCCCTCTCTCTCCCTCCAATCACCCTCATCCCACAAGCCGTCACCCCTCTCAGAAGTGATTTACACTATGTATGAATGGACCGTTTTCCAAACAGAGATAAAGTTTGATCTGTGTGTCTCTCTCTCTCTCTCTCTGTGTGTGTCGTGCAACACTCCGGAAGTTGAGCTGCGATTGCTTTAATATTTCCGCGTCAATGAGTAATTTCGAAATAGTTGTATGTGAAATAATACCTTTTCCTTTGGAAGGGGAATTATATGAAAAAAATTTTTTGAAGAGTATAGAAATTTTTGTTTTTGATATATATATATATATATATATATATATTGAAAAAAAATTTATTTGATTCATTTAACCGATTGATGTTCTATTATGAAATAAATGGTTATTTCTATTAAATAAATACTCATTTATATCAAATAAATACTTATCTATAGGATCAAATAATTTTTATTGAATAATTTCTATAGAAATTATTCTCGCAGTTTTCTTGAAAGTACACTGAGAAAACGTTATACTTAATTCAAATAGAAAAATAATTTTAAGTGATTTTGTTTAATTGAAATTAGTTTGTAAGGTTAATCATAATATATATAATCATAATATCTACTGCTTTTATTAAAATATTATTATTTGTTTGAATAATTATATTTAATTCAAACATATTTTCTGTTTTTATTTCAACAAAAAATTATGTTTATAAATTTTATGTTTGAATGAAATTTAAAAGTTGATTATAAATAATTTAAAATCAACTATAACTTATGTTTGAATTAAAAATATTATTTCTTCAAATGAACCAAAAAATATGTGGGTCAGAATTCGTGAAATTTTCACAGAAAATAAAAAGTATTTTTTTTAAATCGAAATGTTGAAAAAACATTTCTATTTGGCCTTAAGAATGTGTCCACCAAAAAACAGAAAAGGCGTAGAACATTACAAAAAATTAATTGTTTATAAAAAATTTATTAAATAATTATTAAAAAATAAAGTTTTTAAAAATTTTCTAATTCTAAACGAAAGTATATTTTATCCCCTTTATATTCCCGCTTGGTTCATTCATTTAGGAGAAATAAAATTTTGTTTAAAAAGTTGCAAAAAAATTAATTTTGCAATAAGTTTTATAAAAAATAATTTTTTTTCTGTTTTTTGGTGGACACATTCTTAAGGCCAAATAGAAATGTTTTTTCAACATTTCGATTTAAAAAAAAATACATTTTATTTTCTGTGAAAATTTCACGAATTCTGACTCATGTTTTAATTAAAAATATTATTTCTTCAAATGAACCAAAAAATATGTGTTAATTAAACTTAAATATGTTTGACTGTATAGCAAAGATATTTTAAGTTTGATTTAAACAAAATATAATTGAATCAAATTAATCGTCTTCTCAGTGTATCAAATTGATAGCAAAAATGTAGATCAATTTTTTGTTTAACTACATTTTTTATATCAATTCGTTGCAATTTTATACTTTTAAGTTAAAATATACGTGTATAATTTCTATCAGTGTATATAATTTCTATTCAATTTTCATAGAATTTTTATAAAGAATTTATAAAAAAGTAAAAACTATATTTACTGCTAGTCCTTATCTATAATAATTTTTACATACGGTCAAAATACTAAAATTATTGGTTGAAATCCAATTCACTGAATTGAAATAAAAATTATCTGATTTAAGTACCTAAATATTTATTTGATAACAGACAAGTAATCCGTTATTTGAATCAAATAAAATTTTTTTCTCCCTGAAGATATATATTTCTAATGAAATAATACGATTTCTTTAAAGATTTTCTTTCTCTTCGCATTTTTATACTAAATTCATTTCACTCGATAAATTTAATATCTTTTGTCTGACGGAAAATTGATTGCCCTTTTAAATAGAATTAAATAAATTTAATTTAATTGATAATCTATTCTACAACTAAGATTAAAATAAAGCCATTGTAATTTTTGTTCAGCTGAAGTGTTTTACTGCTAATTTATACAATATTTTTGTAAATTAACGTCTGACTAAAATTGACTTTAACTACTTGTACTTAAATTAAAGAAGTGTTTCTGTCCGACTTAAGTTGTCTTCTACCACTTTTATTTTAATTAAAAGAAATCATAGCCTTTTTGTCTGACTAAGAAGACTATTTTACTACTATCAGTAATGTAAACAAATTTCAGTCAGACAAAAAGTATT